AAAAAAAAAAAAAAAAAAGAAAAGAAAAAGAAAATTAGTGCCCACTAGGCGGGGCGCAGTGGCTCACACCTGTAATCCCAGTACTTTGGGAGGCTGAGGTGGGCAGATTGCAAGGTCTGGAGTTCGAGAGCAGCCTGGCCCATATGGTGAAACCCTGTCTCTACTAAAAAATACAAAAATTAGCCGGTCATGATGGCAGGCACTTGTAGTCCGTACTAGGGAAGCTGAGGCAGGAGAATCACTTGAACATGGGATGTGGAGTTTACAGTGAGCCGAGATGGCACCACTGCTCTCCAGCCTGGGCAACAGAACAAAACTCTGTCTCAAAAGAAAAAGAAAAGAAAAAATTAGGGCCCCCTAATGTCCCTGTACTTCTGGGCTGCCCTGCTCAAGGGGTGAGTGAGATTTTGACAAGAGGAAGCTCTGGGGCAGAAAATCAGGGAGACCCAGAGGACGCTTGAGAGATGCTGTCAACCTGCACAAACCTGTCCCCTTCAGCCATAGCTGAAATCAGAAGTGGCCATGGGGATGTCTATGAAACATCAAGAGCATCTGCTTCACCTCTCTCATGTTTTAATATTTTAGGATTCGTAATTCCTAACACCTGTATAATGTTTACTGTGCCCTGGACAGTATTTTTTTTCCTGGACCATATTCTAAGCGTGCTATGTTTGCAAATTATTATTATGTTTTTATTATTATTATTTTTTGAGATGGAGTCTCACTGTCACCCAAGCTCGAGTGCAGTGGCGTGATCTCAGCTAATTGCAACTTCTGTCTCCCAGGTTCAAGCGATTCTCCTGCCTCAGCCTCCTGAGTAGCCGGGACTACAGGCATGCACCACCACACCTGGCTGATTTTTGTATTTTTAGTAGAGACAGGGTTTCACCATGGCGGTCAGGCTGGTATCGAACTCCGGACCTCAGGCGATCCACCCACTTTGACCTCCCAATGTTCTGGGATTACAGGCACAAGTATTAATAAAGTACTAATTAAATAGTTTGCCCAGCCAGCAAATTATTTAATTAGTACTTTATTAATAGTGAGAAATTATTTGAGACATTTCACACAAGATCTGAGTGGAAAATCTAGAGGTTTTTTTGTTTTTTTGTGTGTTTGTTTGTTTTGAGACAGTCTCGCTCTGTAGCCTAGGCTGGAGTGAAGTGGCGCCATCTCGGCTCACTGTAACCTCCACCTCCCCAGACCTGGTTCAAGCAATTCTTCTGCCTCAGCCTCCCGAGTAGCTGGGATTTCAGGCACATGCCACCATGCCCACCTAATTTTTCTGTTTTTAGTAGAGACGGGGTTTCACCATGTTGGCCGGGATGGTCTTGAACTCCTGACCCTGTGATCCACCCACCTCAGCCTCTCAAAGTGCTGGGATTACAGGCGTGAGCCACCTTACCCAGCCTTTTTTGTTTCTGTTTTTGTTTTTTTGATATGAAGTCTTGCTCTGCCGCACAGGTTGGAGTGCAGTGGCACAATCTCACTGCAGCCTCTGCCTCCCGGTTTCCGGAGATTCTCCTGCCTCAGCCTTGGAGCAGTTGGGATTCCAGGCAGGCACCACCACGTCCACCTAATTTTTGTATTTTTATTAGAGACAGGGTTTCACTATGTCCTGGGGTTGACCAGGCTGGTCTCAAGCTCCTAACCTCAAATGATCCGCTGGCCTAGGCCTCCCAAAGTATTGGGATTACAGGCGTTAGCCACCTCACCTGGCGGAAATTTGGAGTTTCTAACCCTGAAGTTGAGAACTGAGGAAGTCAACTGGAAGCCATTCTCTATTAATTAGAGAAGTGACATAATCAGATCTTATTCTTTTTTATTTTTATGTTTATTTTTTGAGATAAGATCTCACTCTCACTCAGGCTGGAATGCAGTGGCACAATCACAGCTCACTGTAGCCATGACCTCCTGGGCTCCAGTGATCCCACCTCAGCCTCCCACCTGGGACTGCAGGTGTGCATCATGATGCCTAGCTAATTTTTTTTTTTTTTTCAGAGATGGGGTTCAGCTATATTGCCCAGGCTCGTCTTGAACTCCTGGGCTCAAGCAATCCTCCTGCCTTGGTCTCCCAGAGTGCTGGGATTGCAGGCATTAGCCACTGTGCCCTGCCCTTAACTGGAATTTAAACAAAGTATTTGGCTGAGTGTGATGGCTCACACCTGCAATCCCAGCACTTAGGGAGGCTGAGTGTTCGGTTGAGGCCAGGAGTTTAAGACCAGCCTGGGAAACATAATGAGACCGTTTCTCTCTACATAAAAAAAAGCTGGGTGGCTGGGCGCGGTGGCTCACGCCTGTAATCCCAGCACTTTGGGAGGCCGAGGCGGGTGGATCATGAGGTCAAGAGATCGAGACCATCCTGGTCAACACGGTGAAACCCCGTCTCTACTA